GGGAAAACAAGGGATATTTCCTGTACAAACGGAAGAGCTTTTCAGCTGCAAGACTCCCTCCCTCCCTCCAATAAGCATGTTCCTAAGTTTAAAAGGAGAAAAAATACGTTTGGATGATTTCAGTACGGAGAAATTCAGAATCGTGCCATAAAGCACCACAAGTCCTGTCAATATAATGATATTTGACTATAAACATTTTGTTTAATACATTTCCCTCCTGTGCACTGCCAGCAACATATATGCCTCTCAGAAGCTTTGCAAGAGTGACATGATGTCCTGGAAATATGATCATATCCCCCTGAAGATGGAATTAGCTTCATTTGTAGAAGCCTCTGGAGTCCAGAAGCCCCACAGAAGCCCATAGGAATCGTGTCACGGGCTTAAAGTGAAGTCGGCTTCTGCCTCTGTGATGTGCTAGTAAGGGATCCTGTGCTGACAGCGGACATACCCATAAGCAGAAGCACCAAAAAGGTTCAAAAATGAAGCTTCAGGTTTTCTTCTCTGACTTTCTGCTGACCCAAAAGGTTTCAAGACTAAACAGCAAACCATCAAAGGAAAACTTTCTGACAGAAACAATTTTAATTTGTGCTCAGCAATGAGAAATAGCTCACCTACCACCTCACACTCTTAGTGAGGCCCAGGAGGCATGAATCAGCTTCGCTGGTGTGTCGTCTGGTCCTACTGATGCCTGCAGAGCAGCCTGTGGCTGCGGAGCCATCCTGAGATCTAGAAAGGTTTAACTCAGACTTTCTGACAGCTGTACCCCAACCAGCCTCCTGCTGCAACACATATGCTAATGACCACTGACAAAGACCCACTAGCAAAATTTAGCGTATTCATGCAGCATAGCAAGGATCCCACAATTTCCTCCTTGTTGCAGCGTAAGCATCCAAATAATTTTGGAAGGCTACAACCCATTTTAAAATGCCTTATTAGAGATTTTTCAAATGCACAAGAAGTGGTTAGACACCAGTTAACACCAGCCTGCACCACCTAAAATCTCTGCTGCAGAAGTCCAGGATTAATTCAAAACTGTGTAGCTAAGTATTTAAAATATGTAGTTACCTTAAAAAACAACTGATCCACATATCCTTAATACCACATTCAGCTCAGTGAGGATTTAATTGTGTGTTGAAAGCATGCCACGTAACATACACTTTAAAGAAAAAAAGAAGGCCAGTCTCAGAGATCAAGAATACAGAAACTTAACTTTGGCCATCATTTGCAGCAAAAACGTGATTTCACCTTTGTCAGAGTATTGTCATGAATACCACTGTTTGCCTAGTCCAACTGAAATTCTCTATTTTTAGCCTTTCAGCTTTCAGATAAAATTCCTGCAGATAGGACTAGCTGTATAGGTCAGATAACAAACAACTCTGAAACCACAGATGACCTCATGCAACTACAAAGAAAGAAGGGTCTGTTACTTAAAACAAGGCTAAAATTTAACCCGGCTATACTAAAATGAAACAGGGAGTGTTTTACAGTCCCATTACAAGACATAAAACAACAGTCACTATAAATTCATGTTGTACTTATTTGTAAGGATGTAACAAGAGTAATTCATAACCCAAAAGTAGACTATCTCCGAGCCAGAACACCACCAAAGCTTCTTCAGTTTCATTGGAGATTTTACAAACAGCACTAAGAATCTATTTTAGCTGTCATTCGAGACTTATTTGTCCAAAAAGAAAAGTCATTGTTCTTTGTCAGTACTCACCAGACTTTTTGTCGTGTTCCACACTTTTAGCTGACATTAAGAAGATAAAAATTAAAAAAACGTAAACCAAACTTTCCAGAAAGAGCTTCCATTTGTAAGAACGCTTACCAACCACACATCTGAGAGAGCACTGCACAGTGATGCTTCTTTGTGCAAAACGCACTAGACTCTTCTGTTTCCTACTGGACTCCTCATATGTGCCACCCTACACAGACTGAAAGGCACAGGCTCCCTTTAAAACGCCAATTATTGCCAAAAGATAGAAGCATAGTTCTGAGCACTATCATTCAAGTTTATCTTACGTCTTAAGGAGAAATGGGTAAGGAACAGATATGTCATAGACAAATCAGTACAGATTAGGGCGTGCAGTATGCATCCATTTGGATGTCTTGCCCATGACCCTCTCAGTTTGTAGAACAGGGTTGGATACCTCCTCAGAACAAACCCTCTGACGAGGCTATCACATACAAGGCTTCCAGTTGTGTAAAAAACACAGTGAAACTACTTTCCTCAAGATACTTCAAAAGCTCTGACTGCTCACTACCAAAATAACAGATTGGACATACGCGTGAAAACAACTGTAAGAGTAAAGACATTCTTTACCTCTCCCCAACCACCACCATCAAATCACTATGAGAGATAAGTAAATGATCCAACCCATTTCTCTTAACTCTCCCTCTCTCCTTAAAACCAACGTAGGCAAACCTATATTTTTAATAATGACATAGCCTCTGCCTGTCATCTAATTTTTCCAGCACAGCTAGCACTGAAATAAAGCATTACAAAGCACTTAACTGTTAATTTGCAATTATAGAACAAGTTTGATTTTTTTCTGGCTTCATGTCACATGAAAGAAAAAACCCCATTTGTCATAAAGAATGAAAACCAGGACAGAGCAAGGTTTGCTCTCGCTCCCTCTAAGGAATTGTAGGTGGAGTTATATAAACAACAGAACAATGATCAAAGGGAAATCCTGGGACTGTAATACACTGAAGCATTACAGGAATAGAACCTTTTATCTATTGTGGAAGGAGGAAGTAGAGCACTGAGACATGTGTAATACATACAATTAACAAATCAAAACCCAAGCGAGCGCCAAGAGAGACTGAAATCAATTAAAGTCTGTTTTTGCATATTCTATTAGAACGACAACAAAGAACCAAAAAATGCAATCCACAACCAAAATTACGCTCCATCCCCTGGAAAAGCCAGGCGTCCAACTCCATTTCAAGCTGTATTTTTCCCCACATCCTATGAAACGAGCCCTGTTCAGTACCACACCGGCTCCTCGATCGCTGCCAGCCTAACTGAGGCCTACCTTGTCTTCCACTCTGTTCAACCTGGCACCAACCGTGTTATTGCCTCGGTCTTTGCTTTTTTCTGTGGAACAAGAAACGTTTGCAAATTAATATACGGTGTTACAACAAAATAGCAGTAAGCCACAACAGGGTGCGTTTAACTAGCCCACCAACGCAGTGTAACCGAACACCTTTGCCAGGCTGGTAGTTTTATTTCTTAAAAGCAGCTTTTTGTTTCTTTTTATAGCATTAGCCCACTTCATGGCTTTTAAGAGCCTTTAAGTTTAAGGCACTTTCAACCTTAATTTTACGCTTTAACCTGGGAGAATAAAACTGTTCCCAATTTAGCTAACGTTTTAATTGCAGTTTAAAAACAATCTGGCGCTATGCAAAAGGCTCTACAGCCAACTTGAACAATGTGCTTCTATAACGTTTTATCTTTTTTTCCTATAAATTATATGGAAACTGAAGTCTGAAAATGACATTAACAAAGAGTTTTGAATAGACAATCTTGTCTCAAATCAAACGTAGTACTTTGCGCCCCTTTTACAGTTTCTTTTCAAAGATATCACTGATCTGTGTGAATATTACTTATTTCATAAGAACTCTGTAACCGTAACACATTTTACTGAAAAAACGTTGAGTCTCAAAGGTTAGAGCCAACATTTTGAAAACCAAAAGCAGGTGCTTAAAATATGTAAATAAAAATAGCCCTATCTTAAAGGTGTTGGTGGCTAAATAGTGTAGATGCCTAAACTCCAGATCATGACATGCTGGCAATGCTTTCAATTTGGCAACAAAATAAGAAGTTTTTTACATGTATTTTTCACTAATTATATCTTAATCAGATTAACTTTAGAACATCCCTTACATTCAGTTTTGAGATTCATGCTTCAAGTCTTACTGAATCTAGAATGATGATTAAAACAGACAGAGAGGTAAAGAATATTAGCTCTATCACTAGGGCAGCTGCCATGGAAAACCCACTTCATTCCATGACTGTGCAAGGAAGAAGAAGGGGTAGTCTGTTTAGCAATTATTCATGCTGCTCTCCATCACAGTTTCAGTGCTATTCCCCCGCCCCTTACTATTTTGCAATTGCTGTATAGCGATAGCAGTAGAGGTTATATTAATTTACCTGAGACAGAGATAAAAAGAGATGGCTTCCCTATAGATTGATCCAACCTGTAAATAAAAAAAAAAGAAAAAGAGAGAGAAAAACAAAAAAGAATCATTGTTAGCTTTCACCAGCTTGAAATAGCATCTTCGCTTTCTCAAGCTGGAAGGGGGAGGTCTCTTAACAAACAAGTGAAGAAGCGAAGTTCAGGTAGTTCTGCTTTGTAGTATATGCAAAGCAGTGACTTTGGACTAAGAATGGCATGAATTTAAAAAAGACCAACAAAAAAAGCATTAGACTGGCACTGGTCTTTAGATTCTTTAACTGCTGTAGAAGGTTTACAGTGACCATTGCTTTTCCACATGAACAGCATTCCTTCCTCCCTTCCTTGTTCTACCACAGCTGACTTGTCTCATCCATCTGTTCTCTCTTAGTTTACTCATGGAGTGTAATGCTACTAGAACAGGCAATGGTATTTCGCTCTGTTTGTGTACAGCACCTACCATAAAGAGATTATGGTCTATAGTCCAACTAGCAGGCAATAAGGCAATACAAGTAAGTATAATGAAAACAGTAGGTCCTGGTCATCACAAGTTTAGGAACTCTTCCTTCCTCCCTAAATAGAAACCTTTACTTCAAGTCCATATTTAAATTCAGTAACTCTGCACAGTGCTACCAATACACCACTTATAAGCCTGTCAGTTTTTGATCCCCAGCCTTAATCATCGTCTTTTTACAAACTTCCATCTGCTGATGCTAACAGCTATGGACACTGAACTTTATTGTCATACCTCCTCTGTAACTCCTTGATTCGCACCATCAGGTTGAGATGACCCTGAGAATACTGTTCAATAACATCTCGGACATCATAAGGCTTTCTAGCTTGCTGTAAAACAAAAACCAAAAACATGCCTGTAAGCCACAAGAATAAACCAATGATCTGTGTTAATACAGTTTTCTTTCAAGAGTAAATGGCAAGTTCTTTTTAATCTGTTTAACACAATATAAACATTTGAAGTATTTTGATTGTTGCCATGATCGTACATTTATTGTGGAATCATTACGATGGTCCTGATTTGATTCTCCCTTTTGTTACCGCAGGTCTACCACATGCTTTTCAAGGGATTATCAACAGAATGCAAGGCCAAAAAATTTTATCTGGCACTTTTCTCAGAAGTTTGTGGTCATTCTAGTTTCTTCTGCAAATAAGTTTCATACTCGTGGGCCACTGGCCAGGAAAGAGCTGTATTTTACATGCACAAGCCCTTATTCTGAGTCAGCAACAAGAAGGCCAGAGTTTTCAGATCAGCTCAGCTCTTAATATGAGAAGCTTAAACCAGAGTCCTGGTTGAAGGTGCATAATTGATTTCCTCTTCCAGAAAGACTGCCTCCGCTTTCAAATCTACTGCGAAATTCTGGGAAAATATTGGTGTAAGAAATGACTGGGAAGAAAGTGCTGTCTGTAATTTGCATTTCATAAATGAAATACTTGCAAACTCTGAGATCAAAAAAAGTACCTCTTCCTAGAGAAGTATTTTATAACTGATAAAGTTTAGCTAGAAGTAACAACCTTTTACTCTGAAGGTTTCAGAGTGAATGTCTTGTGGCAAATTGCATAGAGTACCATTTCGTTCGCCCATCTATATTTTGCATTACACTGAGTCTACTTTGCAGTCAGACTTTTATGGGTCATGAATGCAATTTTCCTACATTTAACTGTGTTATCTGTGATGCATATGTGCCTATTATTATTGTCATTGTGTGCACACCTAGAGTTGGCTGACACAAGAAGGCATGGAAAGGAGGAGGAAATGGCTCTCTGGTTCTCTCACTTCTGGAGTTTCAGATGTGATTTGGGAGACTCAGGTTTGAGTTACACTCAGCTTTTCTCTTACTCTTTAGCAGAGTGCCCTAAACATGAGGCTATTGACTACTTCAGAGAGGGTAATCCTCAATTCCTTTTAGTTGGGTTGCAATTACAGCAGACATTTGTATAATTCACCAGATCATGAATTATGAGTGTTATGGACAAAACCAACTATATTTAAGAATATTTCCAAAATGTGCCGAGATATATTATAGGGACTAAAAAAAGGCCCCAAATGCAGAAAACGTAACAACATATAAAGCCAAGAGACATAAATACTCTAGGCCAGATTTTGAAAAGGATTTAGATGCCAGAGTATATAGTTGGCCTGTAAGTAGGCCAAATGGCTGGGCACTCT